ATAAAAGGTGTATTGGGGCTGAATACAGCCTCCAGCTGGAAACAACAGGTCGATCTTGCTGCAAAAGTGGTGTCGTAGGTTTGTACAAGCTTGAGATCTTCCATTTCAGACCCATATGTCCCCCGTTGCACCTTTCTCCCATGTCCCCCGACCCAAACACAAAAGGAAACCAACGGAAGCCAACCCTATGTTTTCCCCTGTGTTGGTCTTCAGGCTCGGAGCAACCCTGTTCTGACTCCAAGCTGGTTCCAACCCTGGTTTGCCAGGTGCAGTCGCAGGTCTCCCCAATCTAAACGGCAGCAAAGTGTGCATTTGTTACCAACTTGCAGTTGAATCCTGCAAGCACTGCACTGATCCTGCAGCACCCCGGCCTTCAGGTCTTCGACCAAAGCAACCGATTGAAATCATCCTCTATCCCAAACGCATGTTAACAATCACCTGTGAAGGCTAGGAGCCACCGCCTTGTATATGTGCAGTCAAGGGTCTGGATCAGGGTGGTGCTTGCCATATCAGCTTACAGATAGTTTGTCGACTTTCCAATGTCTGAATTCGGTTTCCGAACAGAGCATTCCACACGTATTGTGCTTGCCTGGCAGTTCAATGGCCGGACAGGATACGAACTCGTCATCTCTGCGAAGCCTCGAACCTTGGCCATGGACTCTTGGCACTCACCATGGACTGAATGGACTGCCATGCCTGCAAAATCGTCAGCCGCTCCGCCCGGTCCTTTGTCCACTGCGTGAAGTTCTCCTTTGATATGAGCTGCTTGGCCTGTTTTGTGGTGACAAATGGCGAGATTATACATCTTACTTAAGAAACACCATCCCTGTGCCAAAGTTTTAGCGCGGTTTTAGATTTCATTGCCAGTCGTGGTTACAACCCCTCCTCCTCCTTGACTTCCAAATCCAAGCGCAGGAGCAACAAACTTGCCCGAGTGCGTCCCCTGAGCAAAAGGTCTAATTATTTTTTGTAGTGTTTCGAAAAGGTCTCTCCGCGGGTGCTGACAGCGCAGTGCTTTTGGCCCAAACGTAATTATTGGATCTGCACATTTTGAGTTAGACGGCCGTTGACTAGGAAAAGGCAATTTAGCTGGATCTTTGGATTTTGAGTCAAACGGCCGTTTGACTAGGAAAAGGCAATTTAGGCGCTGGATCTTTGGATTTTGAGTCAAACGGCCGTTTGACTGGGAAAAGGCGATTTGGGCGCTGGATCTTTGAATTATGAGTCACACGGCCGTTTGACTGGGAAACGGCGATTTGGGCGCTGGATTTTGAGTCAAACGGCCGGTTGACTAGGAAAAGGCAATTTAAGGCGCTGGATCTTTTGGATTTTGAGTCAAACGGCCGTTTGACTAGGAAAAGGCAATTCAGGCGCTGGATCTTTGGATTTGAGTCAAACGGCCGTTTGACTAGGAAAAGGCAAGTTGGGCACTGGAGCTTTGCTTTTTGACTCAAACGACCGTTTGACTAGGAAAAGGCGATTTGGGCACTGGATTTGAGTCAAACGGGTGTTTGACTAGGAAAAGGCGATTTGGGCACTGGATCTTTGCATATTGAGCAGAGAGAGACCTGTGTGGATCTTTGCATTTTGAATCAAAAGAGTCAAACGCCCGTTTGAACAGGAAAGGCGATTTGGAAAAACCTCAATAGACAGACCTGTGGTTGAAAAACTCAATATGGGAGCAAATCCTCAATAGACAGACCTGCAGGAGAACAACTCAATATGGGAGAAAAACCTCAATAGACAGATCTGTGAGAGAAAAACCTGAATAGACGTGCTGAAAAACTCAATATGGGAGAAAATCCTCAATAGACAGATCTGTGAGAGAAAAACCTGAATAGACGTGCTGTCGGGATGAACAAATTAACAAATGTCGGTGTTATATGTTGTCTGGTCGCTTTTCCATAGTATCTGTCACTGTTACCACTCCTGCTGGTCAAGAGAGGACTTCCACAAACGCTGGTTGGGCTTTTTGAAGTCCTGGGTTGGACTAATGAAACTTGTTGGGTTTGCACCATATTTCAGTCACAACAAATTGCTCCTCAGGGCTTCCTGCCGTGTGGTTCAGTTGCCTCTCTAAGAAGCAGTCAATGCCAACTACAGTCAGCAAACTTTCTGGAGTGTTTCTCTAGGTCAAATTCCCAGACCCACCGTGGGCATCTGGGCGTGTCCACTTTCGAGCATACCCTATTGATGAGAGTTGTCTCAAAGAAAAAGAAGACAGGAGAACCGAACCACGCCGGTTTAAAGTCCATTTGGGGCGTCTCACACGTCGGCCCGACACCGTGGCTCTGCCTCCCCCATGGCCAGCACTTTCGTCTGGCGCAAGGCTTTGCAAGGAGGATGCCCCGGCGCGCACACCGCTGAGAGTGAAACGGCCGCAGAGCCACGTGGGAAGTCGTTGGCTGGGGAATGGCAATCGTCAATTGGGGACTGTTGGACCCTTGTCTGGACATTTGCGTGAGGATTTCCACATAGTTGTGACGTTTTCCCCGAAGCAATGTTTTGGAGGGTTCGCATGGCCAGGCCACAAGGACTAAAATAGCAAGGTAAAAAAAACAACTAGAGCACAACTGGCCCGAAAGCATTTTCCCCAAGCGCTTCCCATCATGTGCTTTTGGCCCTATGTAACTTGGCTTTTAGTAACTTGGCTCTATGTAACTTGGCTCTATGTCACTTGGCTCTATGTCACTTGGCTCTATGGTAACTTGGCTCTATGTAACGTGGCTCTATGGTAAATTGGCTCTATGGTAACTCGGCTCTATGTCACTTGGCTCTATGTAACTTGGCCCTGTGCAAGTTGGCTCTGTGCAGCTTGGCTCTGTGCAACTTGGCTCTGTGCAACTTGGCTCTGTGCAACTTGGCTCTGTGCAACTTGGCTCTGTGCAACTTGGCTCTGTGTAACTTGGCTCTTTGCAAGTTGGCTCTGTGCAACTTGGCTCTATGCAACTTGGCTCTATGTACTTGGCTCTATGGTAAATTGGCTCTATGGTAACTCGGCTCTATGTCACTTGGCTCTATGTAACTTGGCCCTGTGCAAGTTGGCTCTGTGCAACTTGGCTCCGTGCAACTTGGCTCTGTGCAACTTGGCTCTGTGCCACTCGGCTCTGTGCCACTGGGCTCTATGTAACTTGGCTCTATGTAACTTGGCTCTATGTAACTTGGCTCTATGTAACTTGGCTCTATGTAACTTGGCTCTATGTAACTTGGCTCTATGTAACTTGGCTCTATGTAACTTGGCTCTATGTAACTTGGCTCTATGTAACTTGGCTCTATGTAACTTGGCTCTATGTAACTTGGCTCTATGTAACTTGGCTCTATGTAACTTGGCTCTATGTAACTTGGCTCTATGTAACTTGGCTCTATGTAACTTGGCTCTATGTAACTTCTATGTAACTTGGCTCTATGTAACTTCTATGTAACTTGGCTCTATGTAACTTGGCTCTATGTAACTTGGCTCTATGTAACTTGGCTCTATGTAACTTGGCTCTATGTAACTTGGCTCTATGTAACTTGGCTCTATGTAACTTGGCTCTATGTAACTTGGCTCTGTGTGACTTGTCCAAGGGCTCCGCACGGAAGAACCCTTCGCGATGCTTTCGGGAAAACAAGCCAATAGCAACCTGCTCCTGCCCGAGTCAGACACAAAAATCGCTATGTCATGAAAGCGTATGTTTCTGCAAAGCAGGCTCGTGTAACTTAGCTCTGCGCAAGATGGCTCTGCGCAACTTGGCGCGCTACTACCTGGCGAGCGCAAGCTACTTTGCGCGAGTGGCTCTGCGCAACTTGGCTCTATAAAGCGTAGCTCTGCGCGAGTCTGCTCAGCGCAATGTGCTTTGCTCAAGTTGCGCTGCATGGTTTCTCACGAAAGTGGTCTGCGCAAGCTGCACTGTTCCAGGCTGCTTTCGGGCAAGTTGCTCTCTGCACGCTGCTGCGCGCAAGTGCTCTGTGCAGGTTGCTCTGCGCAAGTGCTCTGAGCAAGTTGCTCTGCGCAAGTGCTCTGCGCCAGTTGCTCCGTGCGAGCGCTTTGCGCATGTGCTCTGTGCAAGTTGGTCTGTGCAAGGTGCTCTGCGCAAGTGCTTTGTGCAAGTGCTCTGTGCAATTCGCTGAGCGCAAGTTGCCCTGTGCAAGTGACTCTGCGCAAGTTGCTCTGCGCAAGTGCTGCCGGAGCTGCGGGGGTGTGCTCCGCGTACTACGTTTGTACTTAAAAGTTGCGATTGTCCAGCCGGAGCCGCGGGAATGTGCTCCGCGTACTACGTCTGTACTTAAAAATTGCGATTTTCCAACCGGAGCTGCAGGAGCACGCTCCGCGTACTACGTTTGTACTTAAAAGCTGCGATTTTCAAGCCGGAGCTGCGGGGGTGTGCTCCGCGTACTACGTTTGTACTTAAAAGTTGCGATTTTCCAGCCTGAGCTGCGGGAGCACGCTCCGCACACTACGTCTGTACTTAAAAGTTACGATTTTCCAGCCGGAGCTGCAGGAGCACGCTCCGCGTACTACGTTTGTACTTAAAAGCTGCGATTTTCAAGCCGGAGCTGCCGCGGACCAGGGGGGAATCGAACCCGCGACCGCGGGATTGCGAAAGCAAGCGCGCAAACCACGAGACAACTTCCAAAGGCCGTTTCGCGAGCAAGAATATTGCACGGCGCCACAGCGAGAGCGCTTCGACACGCACAATCTCCGCAGAGGGTTCGCCGAGACTAAGACAAATTCGCACGGCGCCACAGCGAGAGCGCTTCGACGCGCACGATCTCCGCAGAGGGTCGCGCGCGGCTTGCAGAAATCGTAAAAAGTCCTCAGTTTTTGAACCTCGACCACGCGAATCTCCGCAGAGGGTCGCGCGCGCATGCTAAAAATCGTAAAAAGTCCTCAGTTTTTGAACCTCGACCACGCGAATCTCCGCAGAGGGTCGCGCGCGCGCATGCTAAAAATCGTAAAAAGTCCTCAGTTTTTGAGCCTCGACCACGCGAATCTCCGCAGAGGGTTGCGCGCGCACCGCAGAAATCGTAAAAAGTCCTCAGTTTTTGAACCTCGACCACGCGAATCTCCGCAGAGGGTCGCGCGCGGCATGCTAAAAATCGTAAAAAGTCCTCAGTTTTTGAACCTCGACCACGCGAATCTCCGCAGAGGGTCGCGCGCGCATGCTAAAAATCGTAAAAAGTCCTCAGTTTTTGAACCTCGACCACGCGAATCTCCGCAGAGGGTCGCGCGCGCATGCTAAAAATCGTAAAAAGTCCTCAGTTTTTGAACCTCGACCACGCGAATCTCCGCAGAGGGTCGCGCGCGCATGCTAAAAATCGTAAAAAGTCCTCAGTTTTTGAACCTCGACCACGCGAATCTCCGCAGAGGGTCGCAATCCCGAGCGACGATCAAACTCCCGCCCCGGCGCCTTAGAAACCTAAACTAACTTACATAGCTGCTAACGCCGAAGCTCTAAGCTCTACCTAACCTTGGCTCTATGTAACTTGGCTCTATGTAACTTGGCTCTATGTAACTTGGCTCTATGTAACTTGGCTCTATGTAACTTGGCTCTATGTAACTTGGCTCTATGTAACTTGGCTCTATGTAACTTGGCTCTATGTAACTTGGCTCTATGTAACTTGGCTCTATGTAACTTGTCTTGGCTCTATGTAACTTGGCTCTATGTAACTTGGCTCTATGTAACTTGGCTCTATGTAACTTGGCTCTATGTAACTTGGCTCTATGTAACTTGGCTCTATGTAACTTGGCTCTATGTAACTTGGCTCTATGTAACTTCTATGTAACTTCTATGTAACTTGGCTCTATGTAACTTGGCTCTATGTAACTTGGCTCTATGTAACTTGGCTCTATGTAACTTGGCTCTATGTAACTTGGCTCTATGTAACTTGGCTCTATGTAACTTGGCTCTATGTAACTTGGCTCTATGTAACTTGGCTCTATGTAGCTTGGCTCTATGTAACTTGGCTCTATGTAACTTGGCTCTATGTAACTTGGCTCTATGTAACTTGGCTCTATGTGACTTGTCCAAGGGCTCCGCACGGAAGAACCCTTCGCGATGCTTTCGGGAATTACGTTATTGTAATTTTAGGGCGTAAAAATACCAAGTATCATCGGGGGGTTAGCATTTCTAGGGGGGACTACCTTGACGGGGGTTGAACTTTCCGGTGGGGAAGTGAAAAAGGGGTGTTTTTGATAAGGGGGTTTAGAGAATACCAAGCCAATTCGGGGGTCATTTTGCCAAACCTTGCGGGAGCCTTTAAACTAACGTTGGTTGGGACTTTATTTATCAAATGCCAACTTTATTGCTGTGCATGTGTGCGCGTGTGTGTTTGCCTGCAGGGGTGCGCCGCAAGGACAAACAGCAAGTGCAACTGGAATTGCTCACAGCAACATACTGATCTCATTGCCTCACCCAAATCAGGCTTAACACAACGTGCATCCTAAGCTTGGTACCAGGGGATTACATTATTCTAATGCATTTGAGAAGTGGTGGTCCTTGTTGGAAAGCTGATTGCCTTCATGTATGCCAGATTCGTGGCAGCCATGTTCAACTGGCATATATATATATGTATATATATATATATATGTACAGTATATATATATATACACAGATACATGCATGCATAGATATTATGTATGAACAAATGGAACAATTGCCCGAAAGCAGAACTAACTAAGTTGTAAGAAAGCAACTTCTCTCAGCAACCTACTCTGCAGAAGTTCTCACTGCAGGTTTCGCTGAGCAGGTGTCTATGCACAAGTTTGGCTGCAAGCTCTGTCAAGTTTCTGTGCGGGCATTATCTTTGCAAGTTCTCTTCGCAAGCCCACTTCTACGTAGGCCCATGCAAGAGCCAGTGGAATAACGGAATAACCCTTCACGATTCGGGAAAAAAGCTTTTGTGGCCCTAGTGGGCCTTTTGCAGCTTGAAACCTCTCGAAAAACGCGCACCAAAAGGGAAAGCAGCCCTCCACGAGAACAAGTGCCCGCTTGTCTCTCCGAGGGCCCCCTGAAAACTGGCACCATGTCGCCAAAACGAGCCACTACCACAAAACACTGCATACGCGCGCTCTTTGCATCTGAAAATCTTTGAGAAATTCCGCGCTGCCAAAAATAGCATTTGCAGGCTTCCTGGCCACTTTCATGATAAGAAACTACAATTGTCAGCTCGCTCCGCGAAAGTGTACTCCGCGCGCTACTTTCGTAGATTGAAATTGCGCTTTCGAAGCTGGAGCCGCGAACTCGCGCTGCCTTTTCGACCCCCCCCCCTCGCCCAAACAAAAAAAGCCCTCAATATCTGATCTAGAGTGGGATTTATGCATGCACCTTGTTCAGCAAGCTTCTGAGCAGTTTCTCTGAGCAAGTTCCTCTAAGGAAGCTCTCTCAGCAAGTTTGTCTATGCAAGTTCTCTACATGTGATTCCTCTATGCAGGCCAATGTGCAAGAGAATGCAGCGGAAGAAACCTTCGAGATGCTTTCGGGAAAAGGCTACAAGCGATAGGGAATGATTTTCTTGTAACCGGTACCTAAGTGTTTGTCGCTCATAGTTCAGCTTACATTCCAAAAATCATCACACATACACATACACATACACATACACATACACATACACATACACATACACATACACGCACACACAATTTCAATCACAAACACAAACACAAACACACACCAAAGACTTCGGCTCTTCATTTTTTCTTTCTCTGCTGCCCGCGACTCAAATGCAGCCTAAACGGACTTTCGCCTTTGACTGGCCTTCACCAAAGAGTGTGGAAGGGGCAACCTTGCCACACCTAACCTCTTCAAAGTGCCGGGGCAAGAAGCCCGATGTTCCAAACCTTGATAACTTGAGTCAGACACTTCCATCTCTGCGAACAAAATCACGTGGACAAAGCTACGCTCGGGCTGTTCAAGCTTTGGAACTGCAATGGGCTGAAGCTGCATCTTGCTGACAGCAGAATTAACTTAAATAACGAGCAAACGCAAAAACACTGGTCGCCAGGCCAGTGAGATCAAAACTGTCCTGCTTGGACACCGCACATCAGCTGACGCAGCTGTCCCATCGGGCTTGAAAGCGCGCGCCCAATCAGCACGTCGCAGTTTCTTGCACTTTTCTACACCACTAACTCCTCAGTAGCAGACTTACCGAGCTTGCCGTTCACCTGAAGCTGCCAGCTGCAGCAGGATTCAAGCCAGATCGCAAGGAACAGGGACGTTGGAAACATCCAGCTTGGATATGTGGGGCGGGGGGGGTTGACAAATGGTGACCCCTGTCGGCGACGGCATTTGTTGGGCACACAGAATGTCATCAGGGTTCCAAAATATTTGTTGGCAGCCCATCATGTATGAAAGTGTGCAGTCGAATTGGAAGATTGGCCCTGCCTTCAAAGAGCGGCCATTGCCACAGCCATGCCAAAACAAGCTGACGAGACCATCAAACTAATAAAGTGACAAGCAAGCAAGCAAGCAAGCAAGCAAGCAAGCAAGCAAGCAAGCAAGCAAGCAAGCAAGCAAGCAAGCAAGCAAGCAAGCAAGCAAGCAAGCAAGCAAGCAAGCAAGCAAGCAAGCAAGCAAGCAAGCAAGTTCTCACAAAAAGGGTTGATTCATCAACAAGCGAGCAGAAACATTCCTTTGCTCCCGAGAGCTTGGGGCGTTCGCATCCCCTGCAAACGGTCACCAGGTCGGGAACCTGCAGTCAAAATGGTCTTTTCCTTTCCAATCGCCTGACAGTAGGGTTTGGTTTCCTTTTGGCCTCCCCTTGAAACCATTTCCAGGTGCTTCCTTTAGCTTTCGGGGTTAGAGTTTCCCTTTGAGGCTGCGCGGGGTCTGTCTTTTTTTGAGGAACCCTTTAAATCTGGTGGTTTGGGGAACTAGAGAAAGCCCGAAACCCATTGGGGCGAAGCCGCGACCAATTTTTGTTGAGACACACCCAGCTTGCGTCTTTCCTCGTCTCCCCCTTTCCCCTCTTCCCCCCCCCCTCCGCCTCTCCAGGGGACCTTTAAAAATGTGTGGTTTCCCTTTGAATTTCCTTAAAAACCACCCCAAAGAGGGTACCCTCAAAAAAGCGTCGAAACCCATGGTCCATCTTTCCAGAAGGCAAAGTCGGCGACCATCTTCAGGGCCACCTCCGGCTGGTCCATGGGCACCATGTGCCCCGCCTCCCCAGTTGGTTAGCTCGGTCGCTTGGTCAGTCGGGGGAGGGGGTCATGGTTCAAGATATCCGGTTTGGCTTGGTTTCACGGTTAACCGCCCATTTAGGGGGGTGCTCCTGATTTGGAGACAACCCGTATGGGTTCAGGGTTGCACTTTTGGCTACCCCAAGATAGACTTAAACCCAGGGGTTCCCCTTTTGGGGTGATGAACCATCACTGGGTTTAAGTCTACCCTGGGGTAGTCAGAAAGTAGAATCTGGTTGAGAGTGTTCCACATTGAAACTCATAGCCATGTATATACCCACGTTAAGCATCACGCCAAAAAATGAAAACTCAGTCAACATAGGCTGAAAAGCTGATTCTGAAAACCTCCAAAAGGCGACGTGCCAAAGGACCTTTGCGCTGGTCACGAGCAGGGGCAAGACGAGAAAGGGAGACCCCTACAGTTTGGTCGCTCAACCACCCAACAACCACTGCCGATGCTGCCACTGCCAAGTATCAGAACCAGGTTCTTCTACCAAGATGGTATGTTGCTGAACTGGTCCTAAGTGACAAGGAGGGTGAGCAAACGCTATATATCTGCTCAAATGGATTGCCGATAAGGTAGGACCGTGCTTGTGACCAAATCAACGGCAGTCGAGCCCTGTCCGAACAAGACCAAGATGGTTGTGATTCTACGGTCGGAACCCCAATTGTTGCACAAGCGATTAATTATGATGGCTTCAGAAGCTACATAGGCGTATGAAGCTAGCCATACAGGTTGTCAAGCCTCGTACATGTCAGGCAGGGCATCGACAGAAACAGGTAGAAATCGCAGATTGATTGTTGGCGTTGCGCAGCACACACAAATGGCGACTGAATCTAACGTTGCCAATATTTATGCATGTATGCGACAATGGTCCAGAACATATCAAATTCAAGCAGCAAGGTTATGTCCTTAAGTATTGGGAACCCATATTGTATAAAGTAGAAGTTGCAAGTGTTGAATACCAGCTCCATCCTCGTGTTTTTCGGTGTGACCCTTTTGAGACTCATCACAACGTTTCTGCACACATCCATATCCCATTCAAGCAGCGAGGCGTTCAGTATATCAGTTCAAATGCATCACAGGAAACAAGCCAGACTTGGCTCATGTGGTTTCGGCAGGGCTACGGCTGCAGTGGAATATCTGTCTATCTCTAGTCCTCAAAAGGGGCGTTCCCGTTGGTTCATGTTTTGAGAAACCGCAAAAGGCAACCAACCCCAAATCGGTGTTCCTCAAATTTGGGGCGCCACAAATCCCAAAAAGCGTGCCAACTCTAAGCACCCATGCCGATGCACGAGTCGAAACCCGAAACCGGCTCGGCCACCTCGAAGACCTGCATGAAATTCAAATGGTTGGAAGAGCGCAGCTTTCCCACCTCGGCTGCGCCCTCACGGGCAGGCCAAACGGCCCGAAGCCTTCGGTGAACAAGTTTGGCATAGAGGGCGCCTGACTCGATAGGCCGGCCTCCGACCTATTGCAACTCAGGACAAATGAACCGTGTACTTACATGTGTGATGTAATGTAAGGTAAGGCAATGTAAAGTAATGTACGTAAGTCATGCAATGCTTGAACATGTGTGTCCACAAGGCACGGGCCCATGGGAAGGATACCAGATCAAAACCTCATGAACATACATGTCTGCCAATGCCACTTACATGACTCTGCAGGCATGCTGAAGCTTACACACCGGGGGCGGTGACATCCTTAAAACCGCCTGCACGCTCCCTTTACCTGGTGACAAGCAGCCGTGCTAAGCAGGAGCCAATTGCGGAATCATTCCACTGCAGCTGGTTAATCCATTCACTGGCCACCGGAACCTGGCGTCAACTACTGCAAATTAGTGGATCAACCGGATTCAGGATTCTAACACCTGTGTGGCATGAGGGTCAAAGTGGGCATCTCGGCTGGCGTATCCACTCAGTGCTGGGGCCAACATCAAAGGACGCCCTTTTCGTGAATCGATGCAGAGACACGTAAGCACCACTGGCCCAAGTGCGTATGGATTTCGTCTCACTCGGCCCCAATACATACTTGAATAAGCGGGACACCGCCACATATAATTTTGACTTGTGCAACGCGATGTGGCGATTGCTCTTAATGCTGCTGTTGTGTTGCTACTGTTGCTATTGCTGCGAGTGTTGCTCCTGTGAGTCCATGCCTGTTTGAAGAGTCTGATTTTGGCAATGAGGGAAGTACACAACGCAATGTCAAGCGCCCATCCAAGCCGGGTATGCTGTTCCTCGCCTGGGAGTCTCCGTGTTTCTCACTGAAACCCAATGGGGTGGCCCTAGTGACGAAGTCTGTGACCCCCCTGTCAACGTCCACGTATGTTCACAGGGCGAGATGCTAAGCTATGACGCTCTCTCATCACAGCTACATCCTTCTCATGCGTTCAGCTTCCATAAGCGCCCAATTGTCTGTCTCACAAAGGTTTCCTTGTGTTTTCAAGGCCCAAAAGAACACACATTGACAATGCCGGAAATGTCTTCTGTCCATTTGTGCGAAGGGGCTGTCTTTCCAGACACCTGCCACTCTTTGTCCTCCGCTTTTTGGAAGTCAGCAGAGTGTTCCCAGTCCAGCTTCGTGGTCCACGCCTCCGAATCCAAGCCCACACGACCAAGGATATATGGGTCAAAACATGTCAAACCCAGGCTTCCAATGAACTGAAACAAGAGCCAACATTTGGAGAAAGTCTTCCACACTTACTACAGATCCCCCGTGAAAAGCCGGAATGCCTGCTTGCTACATCGCAGGCGCCTTACTTTAAGAGTAAGGCCCACAGAAGTACTGGGGAGCCCGGCAAGAGCCTGCACTTCAAGGACAAGAGCGGAATGCTGAACACATATCCTGTGACTCGTATAGATAGGTCATACCTTGGAAATTGAGGAACTTAGACAGTCCATTTGACGCAAAGGAAAGCTAGCCTCCGCGCAAGGTGGGCGCGCACCAAAGCACTGTATAGAGACAAATATTGACTTCTGGCGCTGAGACAATGATACGAGTAATTCATTCAACTCGACTTCTCAGACGCTGCTTGCTTTGCCTTCACCCAGCCCAGCGCTGTCACTACTGCCCCTACCTCACATGGTTGGCGAATTCCGCAAGTGGCAACGCTTCAACATGCTTCAAGTTGACCAGTTGTTCAAACAATGGAAACGCTGATCCCTTCACCAGGGAAACCAGTCTGATCGCCGCCACCGAGTCGCTCTCGGAAGTCAGTGGAGTGGCTGTTCTTTGCTTCCAGAGGAGCTCAAAGTCACCACTGGGATGAATCGTCAAAACATCGACAACACGCGCAAGGAATCCCTTCAGCCTGTTGAGACTTCCATCGTCGCTAGCTTC